CGGCCGGAGGCTGGCCGGTTCCCCGGTGTCTTCCCGAAGCGTTGGGCGCGGAAGGGCCCTGTGCAGCAGCCACGGGGTGCACGGAACCGGCACCCCTCTGCTACGGCAAGTCCTGCCTCAAGAGGGTCTTCAGGATTCTGGAATCGCTGTTGCTAAATGGCTGTTTAGGGAGACACTCTTCTTTTTATGGCTTAAATTGACCAAATAGCTAAAACAAAGAGTTTGGTCAAACTTAATGTTGGGCTAAGTGGGAAGTTTTAAAGTTCTTTTAGCTAGGTGGTACCTACAGGTCCTTCAGAGCATGGGCGGGTACCTCGGTCATGATAAAGCGCAATGGTAGGGGAGCAGCCCCAGTGCTGCGTGCCACGCGTCCCCCTTGCCCACAATAATTACGATACTAACGCAAAAATATTTATGACGTTAAAGCATTGAAATACAGGGTTTTCTTCTGTTTATCTTTCCAGCCAGCAATAAACAGCAGCAGCTGCTGCTGCTGTCAGTGTTGAGCAGGGTCTAGGCACCTTCTGGGCAAGTAATTACAGAGATTTGATTTTACCAGATAAGTGACTTTGGATGAGAACTGTAGAAGTTCTTTGTGAAGTGTAAAGCATAGTAGGTCCTTGTTTGAGAGATGATGCACTGCAGTGGGAAGGCAGAGAGGTAAAATGAGGGCCTTGTGTTGTGGTTTTCATGACTTTTTTCAAGCTATGCTTGCTGATTTTTCTTCTTTATATGTTTGCCTTTTGGTTCTTGGTTTGTTAATGTAAACAGGGTGCCCCAGTCTGACCTGCGTTTCCGCTCTGGATGCAACAGGTCATGGAAGCAATGCAGGCAGGAGGTGTTTTGCCAGTATTGTTAACAATAACAGGTTTATTTTCTTATCTCATATGTAACAGTAAAGACAGTCTCATAACTTAGTGTTTCATTAATAAATAATCAGCTACACTGTACCACCCACAGCCCTGCAGGGGTAGGTCCCATACGAAGAGAGCAGAAAGAAATGAAATCCCGACCAGTCAGTTCCAGTGCATAGAAGGTAAGTGCTTCTCTAAAATGTGCATGTCCAAACCTCTTGGTTACTGGTGGGTTGAAAAGTCCAGAAGAGTCTTTGTCCCAGCTGAGCTGGAGATTTGAGAGGAGTGGTAGTAGCGCTGAAGTACTCACTAGCTGGGCACTTCACAGCTCAGGACAACGATTCAAATGGAGCATAAATTCAAGTAACACTTGTGAATTAGTCTTCAACGCTTTTTGTTTTAAAGTCAGTCCATGTGATGGTAAACTCCAGATGGATTCACCAGCAAGGGAGCTGCAGAACCTAAGCCTACTCCTATACGTTTCCTAGCAGTAGTTTTATGTGTGGAATCTTATGCCATTAGGAAACAAAGACTTGACATGGTCTGATTGCATAAACTTTGTTTCTATAGTCTTTTGTATCTATAAATATGAAATTGGCAGCATGGGCAGTAATGGTCTGCGTCCTTGAAGATCCTCACGAAGAAAGGTACGAAGCAGCATCCAAAACAGCACCTACAGCCAAAGAGGAGATGGACATGCATGGAATGATTTACTGACTTTTCTTTCTGCTGGCTACATCTGTGCTTTTTTCTCTGCCTTATTCTGTCTGCCTTTTCACTGGATGAACCCACTTCTTTCCCAAGTCTCTTAATGTTTAAAGTATCCTCCAAAAAATGAATCATCTTCACTGCTAACATCTTATGCATTAGTCTGATTCTGAGCCTGATTCTAAATTACAGTAGGGAAGTAGACAATGATGTACTGATTTTTGCTTGTCTTATGAAAAGTAGTAACATACTTGGTTAAATTTAGCAAGTTTGCATCCCCTGTAGCCATGATGACTGTATCTAGAATGGACAGAATGACTTCTTATCAAGTAGAGAAGGGCAAACTGTCTATATAAGCACTAGCTAGAACTTTTATTTTTTAATGACTTTTTTAACCTTCTGCTATGAAGAATCTTCAAAGTATACATGAAAGCTTACCCAACCATACACAAGCTGGTACACAGAAGGTAAGACAGTCTGCCCAGTCTGTAGGTGACCTGTGTGGTGATGTGCTGCCGGCAGGAAGGGCATATTGTGGATGTTGGTTTGCTTGAGAAGATTCCTGCTACGATGATCGGAGGCTGAGACACCAAGTAAACTGAGTTCAAGAAGAAATGAGAAGAAGCAAAATTAGAAGCACAGGAAATCTTTTACAAGTTAGAAAGTCTTAACTGGAGAATGTAGGTTCTTAACATGGCTGATCTAGAGGCACCTATGTTACTATTATTGATTTCAAGTATATTCACAATAACTGCTGTACTGCTTGTTCTGTGTATCCCAGTATGTTGCTTCTACCAGCAGCCTATATTTACTTGGATAAGGACATATACAGGGAATTGCCTATGGGATAATCCCCATAGTCAGGCAGTCTCCACCACCCACTGGCAGATGTGCTCTGACATTGCGAATTTATCTTCTGGTGTTTAAAATTATATGAGAATGCATGTTCTCCCTGAAGAAGAGATTTGAAGGACATAGAGGAGCTTTCTGGATCAACTTTTCCATAGTTACAAGAAATTAATCAAAGCAGTTATTCTAACATACAAATGTCATCAGTCAGATGCTGGTGCTGTCCCCAGTTAGTAAAGTCTGTGGCTTCCCTCACATTTTTTCAGTCTGGACCTGACTCTGTCATACTCCTTGAGGGGCACGCCCCTTGTAGGTACATGAAGGGTATTTTTTCAGAAATGTTTTCAGTGAAAAATACCATTTTAAGCATTATAAAACAAGTTTAGGGTACATTCACACTGTAGCCTGAAGCAAAACTTCAGGAGTGGGAAGGTACTGTCTGTTAGATAGATAGGATATAGCATATCTGTGTTTAATTGCCTTCTGGTCTTAGGGATTTTTAAAAATGTATGTGTCTCCTTCCCTCCTGTAAGAGGTGTTATTTGACTGTTCTTTGAAGCCTTTCCTCACTGTCTCCTTTGAGCTTCTTCACTTCCATAAAAGTGACTAGAACAGGAACAACAAAATACACTGGACTTAAAATTATTTATTCTGAAAGTCCTACTTCCTAGCTTGTTTTAAAAAAATGGGTGCTTCTGTAGATTGCCTAATGCTGGAAAAAGGAGCCTGAGTCTCTCATCTGAGTTTATCTTCCAACATTTCTAGGGAAATTTTCCAGCCTCTTAGATTGTGATTGGGTCAGAAAACTCCATCTTCTCTGTTGATTTTAAAACTAAAAACATTTCACTTTCGTTAGCATGTAGGACACGAACATTGTCAGAAGCATAGTCCCCTGTCACTTACCTGGTTGCTCAAGGGTGGCTGTTTCTCGACAGCTGTAAGGTGGGGGAGAAGGATACTCATAACCTGCTATGCAAAGAAAAACAGGGCAAAATGTAAAAATGCATACAGCTTATGCCTCCCGAAAGCCCAGTTTGGAGTCTGATGAGAAGCTGCGTGGGGAGGTGTCTCGCAGGAGAGGCCTGACATGGCTCAGTGAAGTACAGGACAGGGAAAAATTGCTACTGAATTGATTAATGGATTTTTAAAGCCGAAAGAGCCCACAGTGACTAGCTAGTCTCACTTTCTAGGTAACATAAGCCGAGAAACCAAATTGTTTTTTCAACCCAAAGGGAGTAACTGCATCTATTTCCAGCATAACATTGGAATACTTGGTCTTAATTTAAGAACTCCATTTAAGTACCTTTAACTAGTTTCGGTGATTACTACCCCTACTATTAGTATTTACAGCCTTTTTTCTAGTTTGAATTTTATCTGCCCTCAGCTTCCAGCCAAGTAATTTCACCATACCTTTTGTTCTAGAAAAAAGTTGAAGATCTTTTTCCTTTTGTTGTGGATAAGGGAGAAGGGAAGCTGGTGACTAAGACACCTCATGCTTTTTTAGTTCTTTCTCTAATCTTTCAAATTAAGAATGCAGTCAGCCTACCTGAGTGTGAAATAAATGAATGTATAAAAAAATACATTCATGAATACATTAAAAATAAATTAATATATAAAACTTTACAGCTAGCATGGATGTGGTATCAAACTACCAGACTGGTATGCAGCATGAGGACAGTCCCTACGAGAGGTCTTATTTAGTCAAGCCGCACAGTGTCAGAGAAGCCCTCACCCCCAAGCAGAGCAGTCCTGATGTGGGAGTCCAGCCCTTGAGCCTTTCGGAAGCAATGTGAGTCCAACCAGGGAATAAGCCCACAGGGATACAAAATGGGATACAAAACTGGAATTTCCCAGAGTGAGACAAAATACAATGGCAAAGTTGAAAAAATGTTAGCAGTGTTTCCTTGAATGGCTTGCCAGAAGTGAGATTTGGCATTTGGGTTTAATGGTGGTGGTGGGGTGTTTAGGTTTTTTGGGGGGGAGGTTTTTGGAGGGGGGATTATTTGTGGAAAAACAAATTTGTAAAAAATTAAAAAGTAAAAAATTTCCTTCTGATCTAGAAGAGGAATGTGCTTAGTACAAGTGAGTTATCACTCGATGTGTTTTGTGAGTTACCACTGCTTCCTGCGGAAGGACAAGACACTGCAGCTCAGTGTTCATGTGTTGAGTGCCTGTCCCTTGGTGAGTAGCTTACAAGTGAGACTTTTTCTCCCCAACCTCTTGCAAGCTCTTCTGAGTTTAAATGGGGCCAGAGAGGTCTTTGAAGACAAAAATACTTACAGAGAGAGCTGATCAGAGTAAAATGCTCTGAAAATGAGTCAAGTTTAGAGGCCCAGTACTGATACATCTAGCCTTATTAGTCACCTTCTGACCTCCCATTCTGGTTTTTTGCTCCAGTCTTGCCTGGTGAATGGCAATTTCCTCAATAGCAGGAAGGTAACAAAAGTAAAATCACTGATATCTCAGTGTGTCTTTCAATGAGTGTGGGCTTGAACAGGCAGAAGACAAAGGAGTGTTGTGAGATGTTTGTGTAGGTGTGAGAGCAATGCCTGGTTTCAGAGGGAAAAGCCAACCCAGCAGAGCAGCAGCTGTCAGTGCTCGCTTGCAGTCGTTGAGCTGAATTGTCAGCACTTCAGTCATGGTGTTTCCCCATGAGACAGCAATGGGGAGGAGTTGTTCGTCCCTATAGAGCCTGGCTGCAGAACTGACTCATCTAGGGAGGGCAGCTCTGGGCAGCAGGAGCATTTGGGAAAAGGCCAGTCATCTGGAAAACTAGATTACAATTTAAGCAAGACATAGCACGTCCACGTACAAAGTTTGCTGGCTGAACATTTGCTCCTTAGGAATATGAAATTATTATAGAGATACAACTGCAATTCATTTTCCAATAAAGCATGTGTTGTTTGAAAAATTAATTAAACCAACAAAAATATTTTTTGCCATTTTAAGTGATGTTTCTGTTAGGAGATCCTACCAGCTTGCCTACCCCAACCCTGGGTTTTATATGCTGGCACAGGCACTTTCTAAACCCATCATGCCCTGGCAAAGCTGGGCCCCTTATGAGCTGGCTCAGTTACGCTCTGGAAACCAGCTATCAACGTTTGCCTCGCAGCCACCAAGAGGGTCCTCTTTCCAAACCCCCCCTGCGAAGCCTGCTTACCCTCTTGGCTGCAGTACTCTGGTGCAGAAGGTTCTTGCATGTAGGATTCACGGTGCGGTTCATACATAATCATAGGAATTTCCACACGTCCCTTCTCACTAGGCATCTCTGCAGTTCACCTGCCAAAAGTAGTGCAAAATAAAATCTACTGTAAGTGACTTTTAGTGCCCTGTATTTGTCAATGCCTGCTTCTGTAATTCCTAGTTCTCACACTCAGATTTCACTTAGAGGAAAATTAGCAGCTCTCATATTCTGGCTTTTTTATAGACCTAAGTGCAGTCAGTTCCTGTTACACTTCACGATGAGGAAGATGGGAAGGGAGAGCAGAAAATACCATCTTTATGTATTTCTTTGTGCTGGAAAGCTAAAAATGTTCCCCCAGAAAACACACTATTCAAAGTGTGTAAACTCGTGACTGAAAGTGTTACCTTTGCAGAAAAGTTAACCTAATTTTTTTCTGTGGATTGTCAAAATAATCAAGGAGGAGAATAGCACACTTTGGAGCACCTGTGAAAAACCTTCATGTGTCATTAAGTCAGAGCCTGCAACAGTGCAACCAGTGGCAATTCGGATCTGTCTTGCGTCTGGTTATTGTGCAACCTTATCATCATCATTACCGTGACCAATTTTGTACTGTGAAACTATTGTCTCATCACTAGTGTGACAGGCTTTTGTTGGGCAAGATCATTATTAAATATGACTGTGCTGCCTGAGGCTCTGAACAAGATCAGGCCACAAAATATGTGTGTTTGGAGGTGTTAGCAGGAACTGTTCCTCACCATAAAGGAGAGTGGGAGGAAGAGGACACAGCTGGAGATGTGTGTTTGTATTACTGTAAATGGAATGGTGTTAATTATTCCTAGCTGTCCCTTGAACCAGTATTAACTGGTTGATTTCCTACTAACGTTAACTGTAGGAGTCCTTTGCAGAAGAAAGTTACAGCCTTTCGTGCAGGTCAGCAAGGAAGGGCAGTTTTGGGGAAAAAGGAGCAAAGATGTTTGTGAGGAGCTGCTAAATGAGTCTGGCACAGGTTTACTGGCTGCTCAGTTTACTGGCTGCTCACAGTTCCTTGCAGTCCAGCTAAATGTCCTATGTCGCTGTGCAGATGCCTTCCCTGGTTCCGATCAGGACTGTGCCTATCTCGCCTATTTGCTAGTTATGCAAAAGTGAGGGGTTATATTGTTAAGAGACACTTGGATAAGCAAATAGAGACTGAGAAATGTAACGTTTGGCAAGTCGGCACAAGCTGCCCGAATATGTGAGGTCAAACTGGAGTAGGATAGAAATTGCTGAACAAGGCAAGATGGTCTCACCAGGTCTGTTTTCAAGGTGTGTTGGAGGGCAATGTGTATGGGGGAGGCCAAAAGAGGGGGGATTAGTAGTGCTGAGATAAAGCATCAGTCCTTTTAGGGAGGAAGAAAAGGAGGAATTTGAAAATATCACTAGGGAAGAAGTGATGTAATTTTCACGGGTCTGGATGAATGGGAGGTGATACGGAAAATGGTAGCAGAATGAATAATAAAGAGAATAGGTAGGATGGTGTGGAGAAAAAATCAGAAACACAGCATTGGTCACGTTAAGGCCAAAGATGCTGGAGAAAATTGGTAATGTATGGATTGGAGAAGGGGGGATGGGGAAAGGTGCATCTCGGTATACTTGTTATAAAGAAGCTAAAACAGGTGATTGGGAATGTCAGAGATATTAATAGGCTGTTGTTGAAGCTTTATGAGGATCCCACTGAGAAGAAAAAAGAAAAGCTGAGAATCAAGAGAACTTGGGCAAGATGAAGCTATGAGAGCCAAGGGAGAGTAATGATCTACAGAGAAGACAGACAGTGTGTCAGTAGTAACTGTGGGTTCATGAGTGTGATGATAGACAATATTGCATTAGCCGGTGTTGACCAAGGGCTGTTTCCCTGGGACAAGGATCAGTGGGCAAAATTATAGGGAGTCTCTTCAAGTTTTTGGCTTATTGCTATCTTGATACTTAAACGCCATACACTAAATAGTGGGTGGTGTCAGTTTGGGTGACATTTCTGCTGAATTCATCTCACTCACTGTGAAACAGGAAAAAGAGGAAAGGGCTTTTGAATTTCATCCAGTGACTATAGGCCCAGGCTAAAGGCCTGTCATGAGGCACAGAGTAGGAGGGAATAATAATGGTTAACATAGTGAGAGCATTGCAAGTTTAACAGCTGAATGCAAGCAAACTCTGACTAATCCTTGCTCCACCCAGTGAGGTATTAGTATAATATCACCAGTTAAATGTATAGGACAAGAGATGCAGAAGTGAATCAGCATCAGAGCCAGGAATAGTGTGGGGGTCCCACTGGATGCCAGGTTTGTGTTTGATCTACTAGAGCCATCAAGCACAGAAGCTGTGGGCCGTAGGCTGTTGATAAAGTTGGTGCTCTGAATTTGCTCACTTTCAGTGTCTTGTTACGCGCTTCTAATAGTGCTGCCAGTAGCTCTGTGTCTTGTGATGGAGGACCTGCCCCAGAGCAGATGAGCTGGGCCAACTGGATGGGCATCTGGGCCTCAGCTTCTGCAGGAGCTTCTTCCGCCTACCTGGGAGAAAGTACCAGGGGGTTAGATACCCTCTGGGCCTGAATGCTGCAAGTCTGGAGGTCCAGGAAAAGCATTCTCTATAGACCCTTCAATATATAGACGCAACTCAATAGACCCTTTCATTTGGCCTGTAAGTGGTTACTCTCAGTTCTTGGTTGCAACCATGCCTGTGATGCCTGAGAGCTCTTTGGGGCTGTGACCCCCAATCCTGTAAGTGCTATTGCCATAGATTAGAGCTGGAGACTTTCCTCTCCTCTCTCAGATGCGATCATCTGCTGGAGAGGAGAGTACGGGAGAGAACAGACAGTGTTAGTAGCCCTGTAGGAAAAAGTCGTAAGGAGAAGTATCAGGCAGCAGTTCCTGAAGAGTAGGAAAATGTCGTATAAACTCCCCTCCAGAAATCAGTAACATCTAGGAGGCCCACACTTAATAGCTAGGGAGGTGATGTAAGTTGTCTTCTCTGCAGTCGTACTGAGCAAACGGAGCTCTCTGCGAGGGCAGAGCAGACCCTTGTGTGCTCCTGAAGTGAGGGCTTGGTTTATCTGAAGCGCTCAGGATTGACTTAAGCAACTGCAAACTGCTTGATTTGCAGGCAGAAACGTATAGTCCCAGGGACACTGAAACAAGTCTGTGCCTTCTCTCCTCTGAAGTCTCGGTCTCTTCTACGTATGGGTATAATAGATTTGCGCTGGAAAATAAAGCTCACTTTAAGTCCTGTGGAAATCAGTGTTTTTTAAAAAAAAAAAAAAAAAAAAGCAAATCACCCCCTGAGGCATATACACAAAGAGCCAATTCAGGGAAAGGAAGGTGGAAAGGACAAAGCCTTTACGTTCCAGGAAGGACGTATCCTAGGGGAGAATGGGCAACGGCAATTTCCATCATATTCCTTTGGATTTGCTCCAGGCACTTGTGTTCTGGTGTGAAGAGCAATCGTCATGCAGCCAAGCAAAGCTGCTGAACTGCGAAACTCCACAGCAGGGCCCTGCTCTCTGGCTCTTGCCCACACCTCTGCACGTTCTCTCCCGAATGTCCCTGACAGCTAAATAATCCCACAGAAGAGAATAGTTCAACGTGTGCCTGCAAAGAGGCACAGGCACTGTCACTTGTGCTTTGTCAAGGGGAAACCGAGACACATGGAGGACAATCTTTTCAGGAGTCCTGACAGAGTTGTCATTTGGCCTCCCATGTACGGTTCAAATAGTTGCAAAGAGAACGATGACTTTCCTTCCCTCTCTGTGGTATTTTTCAGAAAGGTTTTTCGGGTGCTGCATGTTTGCAGTGGTGGGCAGAGGACAGTCCTGTCTATGCAAATCATTTTTCACCTTTCAGAAATACTTCTTCCAGTTTGATTTCAAGTTCATTGGAAATATGCTTTTCCCACAAACACTTCTTCAAAGGTGACATTGTGGTATCTGAAATGGAAGCATTCATGAGCCTGGAGAGTCCCGTGGGATTCGTGTCTGTTTTGACCTAGGTATAGCTCAGCAGAACACAAACTGGGAGCTACTTGACAGTCATTTCAGAAATCTCATTACTTTAGTGCTGATGCATCTTTGGTTTAGTCTTATGAGCCTGTGCCAACGAAGTATTAACTTTGAAAGTATTGCAGTATTTAATTTGAAAATTGAAGTTCACTGCAGTACTAATTCTTCTCCATTCAGATTCAAAAATTATATTCTGAAAAGGAGAGGAGGCAGATGGGATTTGGCAGGTGCATGTGTATCAGAGTCCAGGTAACATTTCCCTTACCTCGGTATTCTGTTCTGTTGCACTTCTTCCTCAGAAGTAGATTGACCTAGTTAAAAAATGATGTGGTACTTCTGTGAAAGCTGATCAAGATTTACTAATCTTTTTTTTTTACTTAACTGAGGCTTTTTTTAGCAAGAAAGTTAATTGTTGGTCTCATACTGCAGACTCCAAATGAAGTTTCTGAGAAGTTTTCAGAAGTGCTTGGCACTGTCCTATCTATATTCCAGTTGAAGCAGTGGAGGTGCTCCCAAGACCCAGACACGGATGTAACAGCACAAAATACCTAGCACTTCTGGGAGCGGAGGGGAAAATGTAGGGACAACTTGGATATGTGTAAGAGGGACTAAAGTTGCGAAGGGCTGTCTCTGTGCCCTGTCTGTACTACAGCTGGCAATAAGGGCTGGATCAGTATCATGTCATCTGGCAGGAGGTTATCATATTTGGCTATCACATCAAGTACCAGGATAGCATCCAGAATCTTAGGCAGGGCAGGAAGCAGTGACTTTATAAGAAAAGTGTTTAATCTCCATCTCAGCTCTGGCTGATGTCAGTGTGGGATTTGCCATTGACTTCAGTAGGAGTGGGTTCAGAGATGGAAAAAAGGGAACATGGAATTTGGGAAGAAACATTAAGTGGTTCAGGTATTTGAAGAAGATAGGGTAATACATTCAGAAGTTTTGGGTTTTGGAAGATTAATGTTAAAACATTATAGTAAGCCATCTTCAGATTTCCTGGACACGTAGAGGTATAGCAGTTTTCACCAGTGATCTGTTGGCTTGTAGGATACTAG